AGATGCTCTAGCCACTGGGCCAGCTAGCTACAACACAATTCGTCCAAGTACATTAAATATGCGTAGTTGGACGAATCTTGTAGCCAGCTGGCCCAGTGGCTAGCGAGTCGGTCTGGAGTTTACTGGCTCTCTGATCGCGGGTTCTAGCACCGCCCATGGTATGATTTGTTTGTAATCGTGTCATTACGATTTCGTGAGTCAAGGACCTGCTTAGGAAGACCACCACCACACACAGATACAAACACAGGGGTCTACATCACTGTATGTGGTGGCTGCTGTGGTAAAAGAAACACAGGAGGTGTACATGGAGAGGTTTTCGGGGGTCAGCGCCCCCGTGGCCCGGTCTATGACCAGTAGCAAGAAGTTCCAAACAATAGCCGAGAAATGAGGTCTAAAACCAGTCAATTACACGAGGGTAATTAAAACGTCACATCACTCGTTCACTACCAGAATATTTACATCCGTAAAAGAGTTTAAACTAAAGGTGAATAAGTTATACTATACCGTGGCTGCAACGATTTACAAATAATCCACACTTAGAAGAGGAATTCTTCTAGGGAGGTTCCTTAACGCTGGTGAGGGGCTCTTGATCTAGGGAGTTGGATCTGTGCTCCGGGTCCCTGAATTGAGCCTGAATACCTTCCATACACCCCCACGCGCTGTATAATCCTACGGGTTTAGCTCTTCCCCATAATTATAATAATTAGAAGAGGAACATCTGACAACGTTTCGCTCCGTCCTAGACCATTGTCAGGTCACAACCGAGGAGAGAAGACCAGGAAACAGTTTATATCGCGCAGCATGGATAGCTAAAGCTGTCAGGTAAGTTTATTCATGAGCGAAACGTTGTCTGATAAAAGCTTTAGTGTTGCACAGTTGTTCTGCCACCACTGTGTGTTCCTTGTTCTGCCACCACTGTGTTCCTTGTTCTGCCACCACTGTGTGTTCCTTGTTCTGCCACCACTGTGTGTTCCTTGTTCTGCCACCACTGTGTTCCTTGTTCTGCCACCACTGTGTGTTCCTTATTCTGCCACCACTGAGTGTTCCTTGTTCTGCCACCACTGAGTGTTCCTTGTTCTGCCACCACTGAGTGTTCCTTGTTCTGCCACCACTGAGTGTTCCTTGTTCTGCCACCACTGAGTGTTCCTTGTTCTGCCACACTGAGTGTTCCTTGTTCTGCCACCACTGAGTGTTCCTTGTTCTGCCACCATGAGTGTTTCCTTGTTCTGCCACCACTGAGTGTTCCTTGTTCTGCCACCACTGAGTGTTCCTTGTTCTGCCACACTGAGTGTTCCTTGTTCTGCCACACTGAGTGTTCCTTGTTCAGCCACCACTGAGTGTTCCTTGTTCTACCACACTGAGTGTTCCTTGTTCTGCCACACTGAGTGTTCCTTGTTCTGCCACCCACTGAGTGTTCCTGTTCTGCCACCACTGAGTGTTCCTTGTTCTGCCACACTGAGTGTTCCTTGTTCTGCCACCACTGAGTGTTCCTTGTTCTGCCACACTGAGTGTTCCTTGTTCTGCCACCACTGAGTGTTCCTTGTTCTGCCACCACTGTGTGTTCCTTGTTCTGCACCACTGAGTGTTCCTTGTTCTGCCACCACTGAGTGTTCCTTGTTCTGCCACCACTGAGTGTTCCTTGTTCTGCCACCACTGAGTGTTCCTTGTTCTGCCACCACTGAGTGTTCCTTGTTCTGCCACCACTGAGTGTTCCTTGTTCTGCCACCACTGAGTGTTCCTTGTTCTGCCACCATGAGTGTTCCTTGTTCTGCCACCACTGAGTGTTCTTGTTCTGCCACCACTGAGTGTTCCTTGTTCTGCCACCACTGAGTGTTCCTTGTTTGCCACCATGAGTGTTCCTTGTTCTGCCACCACTGAGTGTTCCTTGTTCTGCCACCACTGAGTGTTCATTGTTCTGCCACCACTGAGTGTTCCTTGTTCTGCCACCACTGAGTGTTCCTTGTTCTGCCACCACTGAGTGTTCCTTGTTCTGCCACCACTGAGTGTTCCTTGTTCTGCCACCACTGAGTGTTCCTTGTTCTGCCACCACTGAGTGTTCCTTGTTCTGCCACCACTGAGTGTTCCTTGTTCTGCCACCACTGAGTGTTCCTTGTTCTGCCACCACTGAGTGTTCCTTGTTCTGCCACCACTGAGTGTTCCTTGTTCTGCCACCACTGAGTGTTCCTTGTTCTGCCACCACTGAGTGTTCCTTGTTCTGCCACCACTGAGTGTTTCCTTGTTCTGCCACCACTGAGTGTTCCTTGTTCTGCCACCACTGAGTGTTCCTTGTTCTGCCACCACTGAGTGTTCCTTGTTCTGCCACCACTGAGTGTTCCTTGTTCTGCCACCACTGAGTGTTCCTTGTTCTGCCACCACTGAGTGTTCCTTGTTCTGCCACCACTGAGTGTTCCTTGTTCTTCCACCACTGAGTGTTCCTTGTTCTTCCACCACTGAGTGTTCCTTGTTCTTCCACCACTGAGTGTTCCTTGTTCTGCCACCACTGAGTGTTCCTTGTTATGCCACCACTGAGTGTTCCTTGTTCTGCCACCACTGAGTGTTCCTTGTTCTGCCACCACTGTGTGTTCCTTGTTCTGCCACCACTGAGTGTTCCTTGTTCTGCCACCACTGTGTGTTCCTTGTTCTGCCACCACTGTGTGTTCCTTGTTCTGCCACCACTGAGTGTTCCTTGTTCTGCCACCACTGAGTGTTCCTTGTTCTGCCACCACTGAGTGTTCCTTGTTCTGCCACCACTGAGTGTTCCTTGTTCTGCCACCACTGAGTGTTCCTTGTTCTGCCACCACTGAGTGTTCCTTGTTCTGCCACCACTGTGTGTTCCTTGTTCTGCCACCACTGTGTGTTCCTTGTTCTGCACCACTGATGTGTTCCTTGTTCTGCCACCACTGAGTGTTCCTTGTTCTGCCACCACTGAGTGTTCCTTGTTCTGCCACCACTGAGTGTTCCTTGTTCTGCCACCATGAGTGTTCCTTGTTCTGCCACCACTGTGTGTTCCTTGTTCTGCCACCACTGAGTGTTCCTTGTTCTGCCGCCACTGAGTGTTCCTTGTTCTGCCGCCACTGTGTGTTCCTTGTTCTGCCGCCACTGAGTGTTCCTTGTTCTGCCACCACTGAGTGTTCCTTGTTCTGCCACCACTGAGTGTTCCTTGTTCTGCCACCACTGAGTGTTCCTTGTTCTGCCACCACTGTGTGTTCCTTGTTCTGCCACCACTGAGTGTTCCTTGTTCTGCCACCACTGTGTGTTCCTTGTTCTGCCGCCACTGTGTGTTCCTTGTTTCTGCCACCACTGAGTGTTCCTTGTTCTGCCACCACTGGAGTGTTCCTTGTTCTGCCCACATGAGTGTTACCTTGTTCTGCCACCACTGAGTGTTCCTTGTTCTGCCACCACTGAGTGTTCCTTGTTCTGCCACCACTGAGTGTTCCTTGTTCTGCCACCACTGAGTGTTCCTTGTTCTGCCACTGAGTGTTCCTTGTTCTGCCGCCACTGAGTGTTCCTTGTTCTGCCGCCACTGTGTGTTCCTTGTTCTGCCGCCACTGAGTGTTCTTGTTCTGCCACCACTGAGTGTTCCTTGTTCTGCCACCACTGAGTGTTCCTTGTTCTGCCACCACTGAGTGTTCCTTGTTCTGCCACCACTGAGTGTTCCTTGTTCTGCCACCACTGAGTGTTCCTTGTTCTGCCACCATGAGTGTTCCTTGTTCTGCACCACTGAGTGTTCCTTGTTCTGCCACCACTGAGTGTTCCTTGTTCTGCCACCACTGAGTGTTCCTTGTTCTGCCACCACTGAGTGTCTTGTTCTGCCACCACTGAGTGTTCCTTGTTCTGCCACCACTGGTGTTCCCTTGTTCTGCCCACTGTGTGTTCCTTTTCTGCCACCACTGAGTGTTCCTTGTTCTGCCACCACTGAGTTGTTCCTTGTTCTGCCACCACTGAGTGTTCCTTGTTCTGCCACCACTGAGTGTTCCTTGTTCTGCCACCACTGAGTGTTCCTTGTTCTGCCACCACTGAGTGTTCCTTGTTCTGCACCACTGAGTGTTCTTGTTCTGCCACCACTGAGTGTTCTTTGTTCTCTGCCACCACTGAGTGTTCCTTGTTCTCCCACCACTAGAGTGTTCCTTGTTCTGCCACCACTGAGTGTTCCTCGGTCCACTGAGACTAAACTCTCCAGCATCCACAGACTCTTCTTGTTTAGTCGTCAAAACGAGTCCTTGTAAAGTACTGAAGTTAGAACCAGCATTGTTCATATTTAATAGACTTTCTTTTGTCAAAACAGTGTTGCTCTTGTACCAACTGGAGCTAAACTAAGCTCGTTCACTTCGACAAACTGTTGTTCTGCTTTTGTCAGGCTCTGCTGGATTTTGTTGAGTTCCTGGAATACCTCCCGTCTTGCAGACCTTCGTTCTGCCTTTTTGAAACACTGGGTCCTTCGCTCGCGGATTTTTACGGTTTAAAATAGGTTGCCACGTTGTTATGGTGTGTGTGCTCGCCTATATATGTCGCAGGGGTCGATTCACAGCTCCTGGCCTCGACTCTTTGGTCGCTACTAGGTCCAGGCTCCCCCACCTTCTAGAGCCTTGTCGTTCCTCTTAAAGCAATGTATGAATCTCCCTCTACCATGTGTGTGTCGTATAACATGACCGAAAAGATTAATAACGACGAGAAGCCAGTTTTTGACGGTCTTTCCTACACAATTTCAATTAACATCTCTTCGTTACGAACATGGAAAAAAGCCAGACCGTGAACGCAAGTTTCCACTTCGATATTAGTCACGGAGTTATCAAGCCTCCACCTCCCAGTCGGAATTCGTACTCAATATTAAATGTAATAATAATGACGAGGATCCATAGCAAGAAGCTTATCACAAACCGTGAGTTGCATTATCTCGTCTTACCTGTGGCGGTGGTGGTGCTGTCAGTTCAAGGGGTGTTTGTGATGTGGTAAGGTGGTGGCCACAAGTCTTAGATTATACAGTTCTACGTCTGTTACACAAACTTTAAGGTCAGTATAAGTGTGTCCAGCGACTGAACCGTTCACTTTGCGTGTTTGGGTGAACTAAGAGCAAACAAGGTACAATACCGTACTGGAACAGAACAAAAATAATGAACACATAGATAAGCTTATGACGATGTTTCTGTCCGACTTGGACCATGACAAAGTCCAAGTCGGACTTCTGTGTGCGGGTTATTTGTGTAGTCAACTCTCAAACCCAGATATCGTGAAGGTTACAAATATGAACAAATTCTAGAATATATCAGTATCACTAAACTAACTTGTTACAGAGAAGTATATAGCAAATTAGATATTGTTAATACGTAGTGTTTGGAGATCAAGGCTTTTCAAGCCTATAGGAAGTCCATGGTAATCATAGGTAGATAGTGCGAACTAGGGTGTGTGCTGAGGCCCTTCCTGCCACCTCGGCTCGTGTATCCACCATTGTTGTGTTGCTCTCATATTCTTGTCTTGGCCTCCTGCTGTTCTGTGGTGGGTTATACATCACTGCAATCACCACCTTGGGACCCCCGGTGTGAAGTGTTCCATGCTGTGTAGCCATGGTACAACTTACAACAGAGGTGCTGTTCACGTTATTGTATATACCTGGAGAGTGTTTTGGGATCAACGCCCCCGCGGCCCGGTTATAGACTACGCCTCGAAGTGGATCAGGCCTGATCAACCAGGCTGTTACCGACGTACAAACTACGTGTGTTTTTGTACATATATAGACAAATCTCTGACCATCTTACGCTTTATCGCAGAAATTTCAAAAAGTTGCGTAAGCGCCTGCATTTTCCTCGGGGCTAAAGGTGTCTTAGGCCTAGTAGTGGCGTTGAGAGAGTTAAACAACAGTGGTGATGTGTCTGGCCTTTCTTAGTAACCTTGAAGCTTCGTCTATACACAGGCTGCTTTTCCTGATTTGATAAGGCTCGAAAAACAGTGAAACATGGCTAATAAAGCTCTACGACGAGTGAAACATGACTAATAAAGCTCTACGACGAGTGAAACATGACTAATAAAGCTCTACGACGAGTGAAACATGACTAATAAAGCTCTACGACGAGTGAAACATGATTTAATAAAGCTCTACGACGAGTGAAACATGACTAATAAAGCTCTACGACGAGTGAAACATGACTAATAAAGCTCTATGACGAGTGAAACATGACTAATAAAGCTCTATGACGAGTGAAACATGACTAATAAAGCTCTATGACGAGTGAAACATGACTAATAAAGCTCTACGACGAGTGAAACATGATTTAATAAAGCTCTACGACGAGTGAAACATGACTAATAAAGCTCTACGACCAGTGAAACATGACTATTAAAGCTCTATGACGAGTGAAACATGACTAATAAAGCTCTATGACGAGTGAAACATGACTAATAAAGCTGTATGACGAGTGAAACATGACTAATAAAGCTCTATGACGAGTGAAACATGACTAATAAAGCTCTACGACGAGTGAAACATGACTAATAAAGCTCTACGACGAGTGAAACATGAATAATAAAGCTCTACGACGAGTGAAACATTAATAAAGCTCTACGACGAGTGAAACATGAATAATAAAGCTCTACGACAAAGTGAAACATGACTAATAAAGCTCTACGACGAGTGAAACATGAATAATAAAGCTCTACGACGAGTGAAACATTAATAAAGCTCTACGACGATGAAACATGAATAATAAAGCTCTACGACGAGTGAAACATGACTAATAAAGCTCTACGACGAGTGAAACATGAATAATAAAGCTCTAGGGACGAGTGAAACATTAATAAAGCTCTACGACGAGTGAAACATGAATAATAAAGCTCTACGACGAGTGAAACATGACTAATAAAGCTCTACGACGAGTGAAACATGAATAATAAAGCTCTACGACGAGTGAAACATTAATAAAGCTCTACGACGAGTGAAACATGAATAAATAAAGCTCTACGACGAGTGAAACATGACTAATAAAGCTCTACGACGAGTGAAACATGAATAAATAAAGCTCTACGACGAGTGAAACATGACTAATAAAGCTCTACGACGAGTGAAACATTAATAAAGCTCTACGACGAGTGAAACATGAATAATAAAGCTCTTACGACGAGTGAAACATGAATAATAAAGCTCTACGACGAGTGAAACATTAATAAAGCTCTACGACGAGTGAAACATGAATAATAAAGCTCTACGACGAGTGAAACATGACTAATAAAGCTCTACGACGAGTGAAACAGAATAATAAAGTCTACGACGAGTGAAACATGAATAATAAAGCTCTACGACGAGTGAAACATGAATAATAAAGCTCTACGACCAGTGAAATATGACAATACTGTCCGAGTGAATCGACTTGATAAAGCTCTGCGAGTGAAACATGTATAATAAAGGTTTACGAGTGAAACCTGACTTGATTAAACGCTACAACGAGTGAAACATGACTTGATTAAACGCTACAACGAGTGAAACATGACCTTGATTAAACGCTACAACGAGTGAAACATGACTTGATTAAACGCTACAACGAGTGAAACATGACTTGATTAAACGCTACAACGAGTGAAACATGACTTGATTAAACGCTACAACGAGTGAAACATGACTTGATTAAACGCTACAACGAGTGAAACATGACTTGATTAAACGCTACAACGAGTGAAACATGACTTGATAAACGCTACAACGAGTGAAACATGACTTGATTAAACGCTACAACGAGTGAAACATGACTTGATTAAACGCTACAACGAGTGAAACATGACAACGCTCTCTGAATGTAACATGACTTAATTAAACTGTGATGAACGACTTAATAAACCTGAGAGTGATGCAGTGGAGGCAGGATCCATTCATAGCTTTAAGAAGAGGTATGATGAAGCTCATGGAGGTAGGGCCAGGAGCTGTGAATCGACCCCTGCAACCACAATTAGGTGAATTACGTGAGTGTTCGCATCGCTATTGGGCCGTGTGGACGTGCTGCGCAGTAGCTCCTGATTGAGTTGGCTTTTGCGCAGTGTTGACGTGTACTTGGCTCTGTGAAGACCTGTTTGCACGCTCTCTAGAATTGAAGCAAGATGCCCTCCATCGAACAACTTTATCAACAGTTTAAGGAAGAATTGAGGTTGGCGAATATGGAAATTCGGCGACTGACCGAGGAAAACAAGAAGATTCGTAGTAGTCCTCCTGTTTTGAGTCCTCAGGTCAAGAAGGGAAACTGGTCAGTGGCTGGACAGCAGAGAAAGAAGTTGACGATCAAGAAGACGAATGGAAAGGTAGAAACGATGAAGAAGAAAGAGACTGCCATGGAAACTGTTGTGAAAACATCTAATACATTCTCAGTGCTACCCGACGAATGTGAGTCGACTACTGGGAACATCACGACGAACGACACCAAGGAAGGTAAGAATATTGTTGTTGTTGGGGATAGCCAAGTTAGGTATATGGATAGGGCGTTCTTCTTGAAGGACAGGAGTAGGAGACAGAGAGTTTGCTTTCCTGGGGCTGGGATGGAGGATATTGTTAGCCGTCTGGATGACATCATGAGAGGTAATGGGAGTAATCCTATTATCTGTCTCAGTGCTGGAGGCAACGATGTTGGCAGACGTAGGAGTGAAGACCTGATTAGCAGGTATAGGTCAGCAATAGAAATAATTAGGGGTAAGGGTGGGAACCCTTCATATGTGGTATTTTGCCAAGGAGAGGAGTTGGAAATGAATGGTTGTTCCAGGGCAATTGGTGTCAATTGCTGGCTGGACAAATACTGTAAGGAAAATGCGGTAACATTCATTGACAACTGGACCTCTTCTATGGCAGAAATGACATGAAGCCAGGATGGGTTCACTTATCTAGGTGTGGGGTGGGAGCACTGGCAACTGCAGTGGAGGGAGCAGTTAGAACTTTAAAATAGGAGTAGTTTTGTGGTATGGGTTTTGGCAGGAAAACAGTGAAGTCCCAGTGTAGTAATAATACGAGTTTCTAGGGGGAAATAGTAATAATAAGAACGAGGTAGATATTGAAAAGCCAGGGGCCTTGGGTGATAAGGACAGTAATAGGTTTAGTAAAAAATAGAAATGAGCAGGAAGGGTAAAGAGAAAGGAGAGTCTTCAATGTTTATTATGCTAATTGCCGAGTGCTAGGAATAAGATGGACGAGTTGAGACTAGTTGCTAGTGCAGGTAACATTGATGTATTTGCCTTAACTGAGACGTGGTTTAATTCAAAAAGTCGGACATGCCTGCAGAATGTCATATTCAGGGTTTTAAATTGTTCCAAGAAGATAGAAGTATTGGGAGGGGGGTGGGGTGGCATTGTATGTCCGAGATCGCTTGAACTGTTGCATAAAAACGGGTATTAAGTCTGAAGTAACACATACAAAGTCTGTTTGGATAGAATTTTCAGAGGGCATGAAAAACTGATTTTAGGAGTGATATACCGTCCCCCAAACTTAGATAGGGACCAAGGGAGACTACTATGGGAGGAAATTGTAAGGCCACAAGGCACGATAAATGTAGTAATTCTAGGAGACTTTAACTTTAGTCATGTTGATTGGAATTTCTTGACTGGAATTTAGAATCATACGACTTCTTAGAAGTAGTTCAGGATTGTTTTTTGAAGCAGTTTGTGACAGAACCTACAAGGGGAAATAACCTGCTTGACTTAGTTATGGCAAACAATGAATCCCTTGTTAATAATTTAGAAATTTCAGAGGAACTGGGTGCTAGCGACCACAAATCAATTACATTTAGCATTGAATGGAAGTACGATAGTAGCGATAACTCAGTAACAGTCCCAGATTTTCGCTTAGCAGATTACGATGGCTTAGAGAACACTTATCATCTGTTGACTGGGGTAACGAAGAGAGCTATCAATATGACAGTTTTCTGAACACTATACATGCTGCTCAAAGAACGTTTATCCCATATAAAGAAATTAGATCAAATAGAAATGACCCAAAATGGATGAATAATAGGCTCAAATATCTACTAGGGCATAAGAAAGGAATTTATAGGCGTATCAAAAGAGGTGAGGGTCATCTTATGAATCAGTATATTGACATTAAGAGGGACATTAAAAAGGGGATAAGAAAAGCTAAAAGGGACTATGAAATTAAAGTTGCTAGGGATTCTAAAACTAACCCAAAAAGTTTTTTCCAGGTCTATACAACAAAAGTTAGAGATAAGATAGGTCCCCTTAAAAATAACTATGGGCACCTTACTGACAAAGAGAATGAAATGTGCTCGATTTTAAATAATTATTTTCTCTCAGTTTTTACACAGGAAGACACTAACAATATTCCAGTAATAAATTTTTACAGTGAGCTAGAAGAAGATAAATTATGTAACATCACAGTCACTAGTGAGATGGTAGTGAAGCAGATAGACAGACTGAAGCAAAATAAGTCGCCGGGTCCTGATGAGGTTTTTTCAAGGGTTCTTAAGGAATGCAAAATGGAACTCTGTGAACCATTAACTAATATTTTTAATTTATCTCTTCAAACAGGTGTAGTGTCTGATATGTGGAAGATGGCTAATGTAATTCCTATTTTTAAAACAGGGGACAAGTCGTTACCGTCAAATTACCGCCCAATAAGCCTGACCTTAATTGTAGGCAAATTACTAGAGTCAATTATAGCTGAGATTATAAGAAGCCATCTCGATAAGCATAGCTTGATTAATGATACTCAGCATGGATTCACAAGAGGCCGGTCTTGTCTAACTAATTTATTAACTTTCTTCAGTAAAGCTTTTGAGGCTGTTGACCACAATAAAGAATTTGATATTATTTACTTAGATTTTAGTAAGGCATTTGATAGAGTTCTGCACCATAGACTGTTAAAGAAAGTGGCAGCTCATGGCATAGGGGGAAAAGTGCTCTCGTGGATCGAGTCATGGCTCACTGACAGGAAGCAGTGTCCATAAATGGGGTTAAGTCCCGAGTGGGGATCTGTAACAAGTGGCGTTCCACAGGGATCAGTCTTGGGCCCATTGTTGTTTATAATATATATCAACGATCTTGATGAGGGAATTACTAGTGATATGAGCAAATTCGCCGATGACACAAAGATAGGTAGGATAATTGATTCAAACGTAGATGTTATGGAACTTCAGGAGGATTTAAAACAAACTCTACTCTTGGTCAGAAAAGTGGCAGATGCAGTTCAATGTAGATAAATGCAAGGTTCTGAAGCTTGGGAGTGCCCATAACCCTAGTACTTATAAGTTAAATAATGTAGAACTTAGCCATACAGATTGCGAAAAGGACTTGGGGGTTATGGTAAGCAGCAACCTTAAACCAAGACAGCAATGCCTAAGCGTACGTAATAAGGCAAATAGATTACTGGGATTTATATCAAGAAGTGTAAGCAACAGAAGTCCAGAGGTCATACTGCAGCTTTATACATCATTAGTAAGGCCTCACCTAGATTATGCAGCTCAGTTCTGGTCTCCATATTACAGAATGGACATAAATTCGTTAGAAAACATTCAGCGTAGGATGACTAAATTAATACATAGCATTAGAAATCTTCCTTATGAAAAAAGATTGAAGACTCTTAAGTTACATTCACTTGTTAGACGAAGAATGAGGGAGACCTGATCGAAGTGTATAAGTGGAAGATAGGTATTAAAAAAGGGGGATATTAATAAGTCTTGAGGATGTCTCTCCAAGAGAGAACCCGCAGTAAGGATTTAAATTAAATAAGTTTAGATTTAGAAAGGACATAGGAAAGTATTGGTTTGGAAATAGGGTAGTTGACGAGTGGAACAGTCTACCTAGTTGGGTTATTGAGGCTAGGACTTTGGGTAGTTTCAAATCTAGGTTGGATAAGTACATGAGTGGGAGGGGTTGGATTTGAGTGGGACTTTCACATTAGAGCTTATTTCTTGGGTGGCATTGAAAATTGGGTTGGGCAAATGTTTTGTTAGTGGGATGAATTGTAAAGGACCTGCCTAGTATGGGCCAGCAGGCCTCCTGCAGCGTTCCTCCTTCCTTATGTTCCAATATCATGGTACTTTGAGCGAGACCAGGGAAATCAGTATGGCAGCCGATATTCATTAATACACACAGAAAAGCCTGTTCCGTAGCCTGTCTCTTTCATACCAGGATGACTAACCTCGATTCATCTAAGTGCTAAGAAATCATACGAATCATGCAGCATTTTCTGTCCATTTCGCAGATGAGCAAAGGTCGAACACTGAAGATTGTTGCAGTGGGAGACGGTGCAGTGGGGAAGACCTGCCTCCTCATTGCATATACACAGGTAAGAACCTACCTATTCCCCAGTTTAAAACTATCACCACTGTAACACCATACAGTGGTCAAAAAGACCACTGTAACACCATACAGTGGTCAAGAAGACCACTGTAACACTATGCAGTGGTCGAAGAGATCCCTGCAACACCATACAGTGGTCAAAAAGACCACTGTAACACCATGCAGTGGTCGAAAAGATCCCTGCAACACCATACAGTGGTCAAAAAGACCACTGTAACACCATACAGTGGTCGAAGAGACCCCTGTAACACCATACAGTGGTGAACTTCTAAAAATCATTCTCTGCTGACCATTGTTGTTCAACTTGCATTGAAGTTTATACAGGTACAGGTGTACATAAATAATTACACTAATATAATCATACACAGCAGCAAGTGTACATTACCTCTCCAGGGTCACCCAAAAAAGTCAGTAACTTTTTCAGTTTCGTTTTCTGCCCAGCCTCCACACTCATCAATAGGCTTAGTGTCGATATTGGAATTCGGAAAATTAACAAAGTAATAAGATGGAGTAGAAAAACAACAGTTGTAAGTTTTCCTTCCAAACGTAATTACATTTCTTAATACGCTTTCTCAGTTATTTCCTCTCGAATCAAAGTTTATAATAGTTTACGTTTGACTTTTTTTCTAGGGGTAACTTGCATAAATTTATGTAAATTTACCCGACTTCGATTATCTAAATTAATTTTAAATATCTTTGTTAATTTACTAATGTATGACAGTTGTACTTATTCGTACCTGTTTCTAAATAAACGTACTAAACATTAACTACGGTAGGTTAAACTTGTAAGATTCAACCTTAAGAGATAAGATTTTGGGTGGATTTTTAACCCCGGAGGGTTAGCCACCCAGGATAACCCGGGGTAGGGAGGGTTAGTCACCCAGGATAACCCAGGGTAGGGAGGGTTAGCCACCCAGGATAACCCAGGGTAGGGAGGGTTTTCCACCCCGAAAACCCGGGTAGGGGGGGTTAACCACCCCGGATAACCGAGGGAGGGAGGGTTTCCACCCCGGAAACCCGAGGTGGGGGGGTTTTCCACCCAGGATAACCCCGGGGGAGGAGGGGTTTCCACCCAGGGTAACCCGGGTAGGAGGGTTAGCCACCCAGGATAACCCGGGGTAGGGAGGGTTAGCCACCCAGGATAACCCGAGGTAGGGAGGGTTAGCCACCCAGGATAACCCGGGTAGGGAGGGTTAGCCACCCAGGATAACCCGGGGTAGGGAGGGTTAGCCACCCAGGATAACCAGGGTAGGGTTAGCCACCCAGGATAACCCAGGGTAGGAGGGTTACCCATCCAGGATACCCAGGGTAGGAGGTTAGCCACCCAGGATAACCCAGGGTAGGGAGGGTTAGACCACCCAGGAACCAGGGTAGGAGGGTTAGCCACCCAGGATAACCAAGGGAGGGTTAGCCACCCAGGATAACCCGGGATGGAGGGTTAGCCACCCAGGAAACCCAGGGTAGGGAGGTTAGCCACCCAGGATAACCCGGGTAGGGAGGGTTAGCCACCCATGGTAGGGAGGGTTAGCCACCCAGGATAACCCGGGTAGGGAGGGTTAGCCACCCAGGATAACCCGGGTAGGAGGGTTAGCCACCCAGGATAACCCAGGGTAGGGAGGTTAGCCACCCAGGATAACCCAGGGTAGGGAGGGTTAGCCACCCAGGATAACCCCCAGGGAGGGAGGGGTTAGCCACCCAGATAACCCAGGGTAGGGAGGTTAGCCACCCAGGATAACCCAGGGTAGGAGGGTTAGCCACCCAGGATAACCCAGGGTAGGGAGGGTTAGCCACCCAGGATAACCCAGGGTAGGGAGGGTTATCCACCCAGGATAACCCAGGGTAGGGAGGGTTAGCCACCCAGGTGGAGGGTTAGCCACCCAGGGTAGGGAGGGTTAGCCACCCAGGATAACCCGGGTACGGGAGGGTTAAGCCACCCAGGTACAGGGAGGGTTAGCCACCCAGGATAACCCAGGGTAGGGAGGGTTAGCCACCCAGGGTAGGGAGGGTTAGCACCCAGGATAACCCGGTAAGGAGGGTTAACCACCCAGGATAAACCCGGGTAGGGAGGGTTAGCCACCCATGATAACCCAGGTAGGGAGGGTTAGCCACCCAGGATAACCCAGGGTAGGGAGGGTTAGCCACCAGGATAACCCAGGGTAGGGAGGGTTAGTCACCCAGGATAACCCAGGGTAGGGAGGGTTAGCCACCCAGGATACCCAGGAAGGAGGGTTAGCCACCCAGGATAACCCAGGGTAGGGAGAGTTAGCCATCCAGGATAACCCAGGGTACGGAGGGTTAGCCACCCAGGATAACCCAGGGTACGGAGGGTTAGCCACCCAGGATAACCCAGAGTACGGAGGGTTAGCCACCCAGGATAACCCAGGGTTGGGAGGGTTAGCCACCCAAGATAACCCAGGGTAGGGAGGGTTAGCCACCCAGGATAACCCAGAGTACGGAGGGTTAGCCACCCAGGATAACCCAGGGTTGAGAGGGTTAGCCACCCAAGATAACCCAGGGTAGGGAGGGTAGCCCCCAGGATAACCAGGGTAGGAGGTTACCACCCAGGATAAAGGGTAGGGAGGGTTAGCCACCCAGGATAACCCAGGGTAGGGAGGGTTAGCCACCCAGGATAACCCAGGGTAGGGAGGGTTAGCCAACCAGGGTAGGGAGGGTTAGCCATCCAGGATAACCCAGGGTAGGGAGGGTTAGCCACCCAGGGCAGGAAGGGTTAGCCACCCAGGGCAGGGAGGGTTAGCCACCCAGGATAACCCAGGGTACGGAGGGTTAGCCACCCAGGAAAACCCAGGGTAGGGAGGGTTAGCCACCCAGGATAACCCAGGGTACGGAGGGTTAACAACCCAGGATAACCCAGGGTAGGGAGGGTTAGTCACCCAGGATAACCCAGGGTAGGAAGGGTTAGCTACCCAAGATAACCCAGGGTAGGGAGGGTTAGCCACCCAGGATAACCCAGGGTAGGGAGGGTTAGCCACCCAGGATAACCCAGGGTAGGGAGGGTTAGCCACCCAGGATAAAAGGTAGGGAGGGCTAGTCACCCAGGGTAAAGGGTAGGGAGGGTTAGTCATCCAGGATAACCCAGGGTAGGGAGGGTTAGTCACCCAGGATAGAGGGTAGGGAGGGTTAGCCACCCAGGATAACCCAGGGTAGGGAGGGTTAGTCACCCAGGATAGAGGGTAGGGAGGGTTAGCCACCCAGGATAACCCAGGGTAGGGAGGGTTAGTCACCCAGGATAACCCAGGGTAGGGAGGGTTAGTCACCCAGGATAAGGTAGGAGGGTTAGCCACCAGATAACCCAGGGTAGGGAGGGTTAGTCACCCAGGATAAAGGGTAGGGAGGGTTAGCCACCCAGGATAACCCAGGGTAGGGAGGGTTAGTCACCCAGGATAACCCAGGGTAGGGAGAGTTAGCCACCCAGGATAACCCGGGGTAGGGAGGGTTAGCCACCCAGGATAACCCGGGGTAGGGAGGGTTAGCCACCCAGGATAACCCGGGGTAGGGAGGGTTAGCCACCCAGGATAACCCGGGGTAGGGAGGGTTACCCATCCAGGATAACCCAGGGTAGGGAGGGTTAGCCACCCAGGATAACCCAGGGTAGGGAGGGTTACCCATCCAGGATAACCCGGGGTAGGGAGGGTTAGCCACCCAGATAACCCAGGGTAGGAGGGTTATCCACCCAGGATAACCCAGGGTAGGGAGGGTTAGCCACCCAGGATAACCCAGGTAGGAGGGTTAGCCACCCAGGATAACCCAGGTAGGGAGGGTTAGCCACACCAGATACCCGGGGTAGGGAGGGTTACTCACCCAGGTACCCGGGTAGGGAGGGTTAGCCACCCAGGAAACCCAGGGTAGGGAGGGTAGCCACCCAGGGTAACCCAGGGTAGGGAGGGTAGCCACCCAGGGTAGGGAGGGTTAGCCACCCAGGATAACCCGGGGTAGGGAGGGTTTGCCACCCAGGATAACCCGGGGTAGGGAGGGTTAGCCACCCAGATAACCCAGGTAGGGAGGGTTAGCCACCCAGGATAACCCAGGGTAGGGAGGGTTAGCCACCCAGGATAACCCAGGGTAGGGAGGGTTAGCCACCCAGGATAACCCAGGGAAGGGAGGGTTAGCCACCCAGGATAACCCAGGGTAGGGAGGGTTAGCCACCCAGGATAACCCAGGGTAGGAGGGTTACCACCAGGATAACCCAGGGTACGGAGGGTTAGCCACCCAGGTTGGAGGTTAGCCACCCAGGTAGGGAGGGTTAGCCACCCAGGGTAGGGAGGGTTAGCCACCCAGGATAACCCAGGGTAGGGAGGGTTAGCCACCCAGGGTCGGAGGGTTAGCACCCAGGATAACCGGGAGGGTTAGCCACCCAGGATAACCCGGAGTAGGAGGGTTAGCCACCCAGGATAACCCGGGGTAGGAGGGTTAGCCACCCAGATAACCCAGGGTAGGGAGGGTTAGCCACCAGGATAACCCAGGGTAGGGAGGGTTAGCACCCAGGATAACCAGGTAGGGAGGGTTAGCCACCCAGGATAACCCAGGGAAGGGAGGGTTAGCCACCCAGATAACCCAGGGTAGGGGGTTAGCCATCCAGGATAACCAGGGTACGGAGGGTTAGCCACCCAGGATAACCCAGGTACGGAGGGTTAGCCACCCAGGTAACCCAGAGAGGAGGGTTAGCCACCCAGGATAACCCAGGTTGGGAGGGTTAGCCACCCAGATAAACCCAGGGTAGGGAGGGTTAGCCACCCAGGATAACCCAGAGTACGGAGGGTTAGCCACCCAGGATAACCCAGGGTTGGGAGGGTTAGCCACCCAAGATAACCCAGGGTAGGGAGGGTTAGCCACCCAGGATAACCCAGGGTAGGGAGGGTTAACCACCCAGGATAAAGGGTAGGGAGGGTTAGCCACCCAGGATAACCCAGGGTAGGGAGGGTTAGCCACCCAGGATAACCCAGGGTAGGGAGGGTTAGCCACCCAGGGTAGGAAGGGTTGGCCATCCAGGATAACCCAGGGTAGGGAGGGTTAGCCACCCATGGCAGGGAGGGTTAGCCACCCAGGATAACCCAGGGTACGGAGGGTTAGCCACCCAGGAAAACCCAGGGTAGGGAGGGTTAGCCACCCAGGATAACCCAGGGTACGGAGGGTTAACAACCCAGGATAACCCAGGGTAGGGAGGGTTAGTCACCCAGGATAACCCAGGGTAGGAAGGGTTAGCCACCCAGGATAACCCAGGGTAGAGAGGGTTAGCCACCCAGGATAAAAGGTAGGGAGGGCTAGTCACCCAGGGTAAAGGGTAGGGAGGGTTAGTCATCCAGGATAACCCAGGGTAGGGAGGGTTAGTCACCCAGGATAGAGGGTAGGGAGGGTTAGCCACCCAGGATAACCCAGGGTAGGGAGGGTTAGTCACCCAGGATAGAGGGTAGGGAGGGTTAGCCACCCAGGATAGCCCAGGGTAGGAGGGTTAGTCTCCCAGAATAACCCAGGGTAGGAGGGTTAGCACCCAGGATAACAGGGTAGGGAGGGTTAGCCACCCAGGATAACCCAGGGTAGGGAGGGTTAGTCACCCAGGATAAAGGGTAGGGAGGGTTAGCCACCCAGGATAACCCAGGGTAGGGAGGGTTAGTCATCCAGGATAACCCAGGGTAGGGAGGGTTAGCCACCCAGGGTAGGGAAGGGTTAGTCACCCAGGATAACCCAGGGCAGGGAGGGTTAGTCACCCAGGATAGAGGGTAGGGAGGGTTAGCAACCCAGGATAACCCAGGGTAGGGAGGGTTAGTCACCCAGAATAACCCAGGGTAGGAAGGGTTAGCTACCCAAGATAACCCAGGGTAGGGAGGGTTAGCCACCCAGGATAACCCAGGGTAGGGAGGGTTAGTCACCCAGGATAAAGGGTAGGGAGGGTTAGCAACCCAGGATAACCCAGGGTAGGGAGGGTTAGTCACCAGGATAACCCAGGGTAGGAAGGGTTAGTACCCACAGATAACCCAGGGTAGGGAGGGTTACCACCCAGGATAACCCAGGGTAGGGAGGGTTAGCCACCCAGATAACCCAGGTAGGAGGGTTAGTCCACCCGATAAAGGTAGGAGGATAGTCCCAGGGTAAGGTAGGGGTTAGTCACCCAGGATAACCCAGGGTAGGGAGGGTTAGTCACCCAGGATAAAGGGTAGGGAGGGTTAGTCACCCAGGATAAAGGGTAGGGAGGGTTAGCCACCCAGGATAACCCAGGGTAGGGAGGGTTAGTCACCCAGGATAACCCAGGGTAGGGAGGGTTAGTCACCCAGGATAACCCAGGTAGGAAGTGGTTAGTCACCAGGATAACCCAGGGTAGGGAGGGTAGTCCACCAGGATAACCCAGGTAGGAGGGTAGTCACCCAAGATAACCCAGGGTAGGGAGGGTTAGTCACCCAGGATAACCCAGGGTAGGGAGGGTTAGTCACCCAGGATAACCAATGGTAGGGAAGGGTTAGTCACCCAGGATAACCCAGGGTAGGGAGGGTTAGCCACCCAGGATAACCCAGGGTAGGGAAGGGTTAGTCACCTAGGATAACCCAGGGTAGGGAGGGTTAGTCACCTAGGATAACCCAGGGTAGGAAGGGTTAGCTACCCAAGATAACCCAGGGTAGGGAGGGTTAGCCACCCAGGATAACCCAGGGTAGGGAGGGTTAGCCACCCAGGATAACCCAGGGTAGGGAGGGTTAGTCACCCAGGATAACCCAGGGTAGGGAGGGTTAGTCACCCAAGATAACCCAGGGTAGGGAGGGTTAGTCACCCAGGATAACCCAGGGTAGGGAGGGTTAGTCACCCAGGATAACCCAAGAAAGTCTTATTTCCATTGTGGTCCTTGAATTTTGACCCCCGGGATGCAACCCACACTAGTCGACTATCACCCAGGTACCTACCTACTGATAGGTGAACGGGGCATCAGATATAAGGATACACGCCCAATGTTTCCACCAGTGCTGGGGATCGAACCACGCTCAATGTGTGAGGCGAGAGCGTTACCTACCAGGCCACGGGACACCTTGTGGCCTCATTCCTAGGAAATCATGCGTTTGGAATGAGAGAATACCTTAAAATTAGGCCTAATGCAGTGTAGACCTACCTAGATGGGCAGTACTCTTAAGTACACTAAATTTAGAGACAAATGCATTATTATTGATATCGATACACCAGAAGAAAACTGTAAACTGATACAGTTACCCTTATAAAATGGTTGATTAATGGAGTTTAAAGCCTATCTACTACACGAGGGTCATTAAGGCTGCATGTCACCTATACACCACAAGTCGACAATACCAAAAATAAGAAGGTGAACTCTCAGTGTACACACACTGAGAGAGAGAACTCAGAGTAGTCACAGTGTACAGGAAGCTTGGTAAAGGACACAGGATGGATAACCTCCACTGCTTTGCATACATCTGGGGTTTTCCCTCAAAGATGTACAATTAATCTTTGACACAAACGTAGCTTCTTGGAAGAGTAATAATTAATATTGCTACTATAATTAGCATTAGAATCTGGATTAATTTTATTTCAGTGTCCAGGAAAGCTTTTATCGTTGATCTTTACATTCCATCTCAACCAATCTTAGTCAACTTTCTCAGTGTTATTACATGTACCGCTAGTGTAAGAATTTGTAAGTTGATTCCGAGTATCACCACCAGGGGACCTTCAATAACGACTACGTCCCTACAGTCTTTGATAACTACGCAGGCACGATAACCGTAGATGAGAAGGATTACTCTTATAACTTGTGGGACACGGCTGGTCAAGAAGGCTTCGACAAGTGTCGGGTACTGTCTTACACTCAGGTTAGTGGGTCTAAAGTCTACAGTAAGTCTCACCGATAGCCCCGTGAGGGCGGGGACTGTGGCTAGGCCTGGGGACACTTGGTCCCAAAGATGAGGAGATACTTGTACCTCCTCCCATGGCAGAGGTCTCGAAACACTCCCCAGATAGGGAGCCAAGGTCGGGTCACCACTAAGAAAAAAAAGTTTGTTCCATTGGATAGTAAAAATGGTTATACATGAGTATAATTTTTAAAGGGGTGGACCGGTAAGCCAGCGGAAGGCCTCAGTCAGATGACCAAACGCTCATCCTGGCTTACCCCTCCACCCCTTTAAAAATTAAGGTTATGTTTATAACCACTTCATAATCACATCTTTAAGTGTATATATATAAATTTAACTGAGGTTTTCATTACTGGACACATTATACTTCCCTCGACGTAACACAAGTATACATTGTCTGGTGAGAATTTACGAAAACAATACAATGCTCATACATACCATATACAATACTGATACAAAATTCACACAATAGTGATACAAAATTCACACAATACTGATACAAAATTCACACAATACTGATACAAAATTCACACAATACTGATACATAATTCACACAATACTGATACATAATTCACACAATACTTATACAAAATTCACACAATACTGATACATAATTCACACAATACTGATACAAAATTCACACAATACTGATACAAAATTCACAAAAATACTGATACAAAATTCACACAATACTGATACAAAATTCACACAATACTGATACATAATTCACACAATACTGATACATAATTCACACAATACTTATACAAAATTCACACAATACTGATACATAATTCACACAATACTGATACAAAATTCACACAATACTGATACAAAATTCACACAATACTGATACAAAATTCACACAATACTGATACAAAATTCACACAATACTGATACATAATTCACACAATACTGATACATAATTCACACAATACTTATACAAAATTCACACAATACTGATACATAATTCACACAATACTGATACATAATTCACACAATACTTATACAAAATTCACACAATACTGATACATAATTCACACAATACTGATACATAATTCACACAATACTTATACAAAATTCACACAATACTGATACATAATTCACACAATACTGATACAAAATTCACACAATACTGATACAAAATTCACACAATACTGATACAAAATTCACACAATACTTATACAAAATTCACACAATACTTATACAAAATTCACACAATACTGATACAAAATTCACACAATACTGATACAAAATTCACACAATACTGATAACAAAATTCACACAATACTGATACAAAATTCACACAATACTGATACATAATTCACACAATACTGATACAAAATTCACACAATACTGATACAAAATTCACACAATACTGATACAAAATTCACACAAATACTGATACAAAATTCACACAATACTGATACAAAATTCACACAATACTGATACAAAATTCACACAATACTGATACATAATTCACACAATACTGATACAAAATTCACACAATACTGATACAAATTCACACAATACTGATACAAAATTCACACAATACTGATACAAAATTCACACAATACTGTACATAATTCACGCAATACTGATACATAATTCACACAATACTTATACAAAATTCACACAATACTGATACAAAATTCACACAATACTGATACAAAATTCACACAATACTGATACAAAATTCACACAATACTGATACAAAATTCACACAATACTGATACATAATTCACACAATACTGATACAAAATTCACACAATACTGATACAAAATTCACACAATACTGATACAAAATTCACACAATACTGATACAAAATTCACACAATACTGATACAAAATTCACACAATACTGATACAAAATTCACACAATACTGATACAAAATTCACACAATACTGATACAAAATTCACACAATACTGATACAAAATTCACACAATACTGATACAAAATTCACAATACTGATACAAAATTCACACAATACTGATACAAAATTCACACAATACTGATACATAATGCACACAATACTGATACAAAATTCACACAATACTGATACAAAATTCACACAATGCTGATGCAAAATTCACACAATACTGATACAAAATTCACACAATACTGATGCAAAATTCGCACAATACTGATACAAAATTCACACAATACTGATACAAAATTCACACAATACTGATACAAAATTCACACAATACTGATACATAATTCATACAATACTGATACAAAATTCACACAATACTGATACATAATTTACACAATACTGATCCATAATTCACACAATACTGATACATAATTCACACAATACTGATACAAAATTCACACAATACTGATACAAAATTCACACAATACTCGATACAAAATTCACACAATACTGATACAAAATTCACACAAAACTGATACAAAATTCACACATACTGATACAAAATTCACACAATACTGATACAAAATTCACACAATACTGATACAAAATTCACACAATACTGATACATAATTCACACAATACTGATACAAAATTCACACAATACTTATACATAATTCACACAATACTTATACATAATTCACACAATACTTATACATAATTCACACAATACTTATACAAAATTCACACAATACTTATACATAATTCACACAATACTTATACAAAATTCACACAATACTGATACATAATTCACACAATACTGATACATAATTCACACAATACTGATACATAATTCACACAATACTGATACATAATTCACACAATACTGATACATAATTCACACAATACTTATACATAATTCACACAATACTTATACATAATTCACACAATACTGATACATAATTCACACAATACTTATACATAATTCACACATACTGATACATAATTCACACAATACTTATACATAATTCACACAATACTGATACATAATTCACACAATACTTATACATAATTCACACAATACTGATACATAATTCACACAATACTGATACATAATTCACACAATACTGATACATAATTCACACAATACTTATACATAATTCACACAATACTCATACATAATTCACACAATACTTATACATAATTCACACAAATACTGATACATAATTCACACAATACTGATACATAATTCACACAATACTGATACATAATTCACACAATACTGATACATAATTCACACAATACTTATACATAATTCACACAATACTGATACATAATTCACACAATACTGATACATAATTCACATCAATACTGATACATAATTCACACAATACTGATACATAATTCACACAATACTGATACATAATTCACACAATACTGATACATAATTCACACAATACTTATACATAATTCACACAATACTGATACATAATTCACACAATACTCGTACAAAATTCACAGTCACACCATATAGACGTTATAAGACACGCAACTTTCACTATCATGAGTCTAAAAAATTCAGTTTCGTGGGTGAAGTGCTAATTTATCAGACATTTCGACCTGTTTACATCTTTTTCAGGCAACATTTCGACCTGTTTACATCCTTATTGCAACGTTGTAACCTATTTACATCTTTTTCAGGCAACATTTCGATCTGTTTAGATTCTTATCAGGCAATATTTCGACTTGTTTATATCTTTATTAGACAACATTTCGACCTGTTTAGATTCTCATCCTATAATTTTTCTACCTGTTTACACTATTATCATGCAACATTTCGACCTGCTTACACCCTTACTACGCAACATTTCGACCTGTTTACACCCTTACCAGGCAACATTTCGACCTGCTTACACCCTTACTAGGCAACATTTCGACCTGTTCACACCCTTACCAGGCAACATTTCGACCTGTTTATACCCTTACCAGCCAACATTTCGACCTGTTTACTCTCATCCTACAACACTTTGCTTTGTTTACATCCTTCTGGGATCGAAACCCTCCTTTGAAACACTTTTTCACTATGTTAAGCGGTTCATGTAGTCTCTCACCTACGTTTCTGTCTCAGACGAACGCCTTCTTGGTGTGTTTCGACCTGGTAAACCGAACGTCTTACGAGAACGTAAAAACAGTCTGGGTGCCGGAGATCAGGAAGGAATGTGGTAGGGACATCCCTGCCATCCTTGTCGGTAAGTTCTGGTCTCTGAGGGCCGTCAGAAAGTCGAAATTCCGAAGGGAGCAAGAAATCTTAATTCAGAGGACCATCAAAGAATCTTTATAACTGTGGGCGTAGGAGATCTTTTAGTGTGGGTCTTGGAGGTCTGTTACTGTGGGCGTAGGAGATCTATTAGTTTGGGTCTTGGAGGTCTGTTACTGTGGGCGTAGATCTATTAGTGTGGGTCTTGGAGGTCTGTTACTGTGGGCGTAGGAGATCTATTAGTTTGGGTCTTGGAGGTCTGTTACTGTGGGCGTAGGAGATCTATTAGTGTGGGTCTTGGAGGTCTGTTACTGTGGGCGTAGGAGATCTATTAGTGTGGGTCTTGGAGGTCTGTTACTATGGGCGTAGATCTATTAGTGTGGGTCTTGGAGGTCTGTTACTGTGGGCGTAGGAGATCTATTAGTGTGGGTCTTGGAGGTCTGTTACTGTGGGCGTAGGAGATCTATTAGTGTGGGTCTTAGAGGTCTGTTACTGTGGCGTAGGAATCTATTAGTGTGGGTCTTGGAGGTCTGTTACTATGGGCGTAGATCTATTAGTGTGGGTCTTGGAGGTCTGTTACTGTGGGCGTAGATCTATTAGTGTGGGTCTTGGAGGTCTGTTACTATGGGCGTAGATCTTTTAGTGGGGTCTTGGAGGTCGTACTGGGGCTAGACTTTTAGTTGGGTCTTGGAGGCTTTTACTAGGGGCGAGTCTTTTAGTGTGGGTCTTGGGGGTCTTTTACTATGGGGTAGATCATTGTGGGGTCTTGGGAAAGGCTGTTACTGGGGGCGGGGAGATCTTTTAGTGGGGGTTTGGAGGTCGTTACAGGGGCGTAGATTATTAGTGGGGGGCTTGGAATCTGCTACTGTGGAGTAGGGATTCTATTATGGGGTCTTGGGGTGTTTTACTGGGGTATAGATCTATACGGGGTCTGGAGGTCATTCCCCCTGGGTGTAGGAACCCACTAGAAAGGTTGGGGGTCTATTCCCTCTGGGTGAAGGAGACCAGCTAGCAAGGGTCGGGAGGTTATTCCCTGGGTGTGGAGCCCAGCTGAAAGGGTCTGGGGTCTATTTTGGGGTGTAGGAGACCAGCAGAAAGGGGTCGGGAAGGTTTCCTCTGGTGTGGGAGACCCTAAGGGTCTGGAGGCCCTTTCCTTGGGTGAGGAGACCAGCTAGAAAGGTCGGATCTTTTCCCTGGGTGTAGGAGACCAGCTAGCAAGGGGTCTGGGGGTCTATTTCCCTGGGGGGTAGGGACCCCAGCTACAAGGGTCGGGGGTCTATTCCCGGGGTGAAGGAGCCAGCTAGAAAGGTCTTGAGGTCTATTCCTCTGGGTAGGAGACCACTAGCAAGGGGTTTCTGGAGGTCAAATTCCTCTGGGTGTAGGAGGACCAGCTAGCAGGGTCTGGGGTCTATTCCTCTGGGGTGTAGGAGCCAGCTAGCAAGGGTCTGGAGGTCTATTCCTCTGGGGTAGAGACCCAGTTTGCAGGGGTCTGGGAAGGTCTATTCCTCTGGGTGTAGGAGACCACTAGCAAGGGTCTGGGGGGTCTATTCCTTGGGTGTGAGACCAGCTAGAAAGGGAGTCTGGAGGTCTTTCCCTTTGGGTGTAGGACCACTAGCAAGGGTCTGGAGGTCTATTCCTCTGGGTGTAGGAGACCAGCTAGCAAGGGTCTGGAGGTCTATTCTCTGGGTTTGGAGACCAGCAGCAAGGGTCTGGAGGTCTATTCCTTGGGTTAGGAGACCAGCTGCAAGGGTCTGGAGGTCTATTCCTCTGGGTGTGGGAGACCAGCTAGCAAGGTCTGGAGGTCTATTCCTCTGGGTGTAAGGGACCAGCTAGCAAGGGTCGGGAGGTCTATTCCTCTGGTGTAGGAGACCAGCTAGAAAGGGGTCTGGAGGTCTATTCCTCTGGTGTAGGAGCCCAGCTAAGAAAAGGGTCTGGAGGTCTTTTCCCTCGGGGTGTGGGGAAACCAGCTAGCAAGGGTCTGGAGGTCTATTCCTCTGGGTGTAGGAGACCAGCTGCAAGGGTCTGGAGGTCTATTCCTCTGGGTGTAGGAGACCAGCTAGCAAGGGTCTGGAGGTCTATTCCTCTGGGTGTGGGGGAGACCAGCTAGCAAGGGGTCTGGGGGTCTATTCCTCTGGGTGTAGGAGCCCAGCTAGAAAGGGTCTGGAGGTCTATTCCTCTGGGTGTAGGAGACCAGCTAGCAAGGGTCTGGAGGGTCTATTCCTCTGGGTGTAGGAGACCAGCAAAGCAAGGGTCTGGAGGTCTATTCCTCTGGGTGTAGGAGACCAGCTAGCAAGGGTCTGGAGGTCTTTTCCTCTGGGTGTAGGAGACCAGCTAGCAAGGGTCTGGAGGTCTATTCCTCTGGGTGTAGGAGACCAGCTAGCAGGGTCTGGAGGTCTATTCCTTTCTGGGTGTAGGGGGACCGCTAGCAAGGGTCTGGGGGGTCTATTCCTCTGGGTGTAGGAGACCAGCTAGCAAGGGTCTGGGGTCTATTCCTCTGGGTGTAGGAGACCAGCTACCCAAGGGTCTGGAGGTCTATTCCTCTGGGTGTAGGAGACCCAGTTTAGAAAGGGGTCGGAGGTCTATTCCTCTGGGTGTAGGAGACCAGCTAGAAAGGGGTCTGGAGGTCTATTCCTCTGGGTGTAGGAGACCAGCTAGCAAGGGTCTGGAGGTCTATTCCTCTGGTGTAGGAGACCAGCTAGCAAGGGGTCTGGAGGTCTATTCCTCTGGGTGTAGGAGACCAGCAAAGCAAGGGTTCTGGAGGTCTATTCCTCTGGGTTGTAGGAGACCACTGCCAAGGGTCTGGAGGTCTATTCCTCGGGGTTTTGTAGGAGACCAGCTAGCAAGGGTCTGGAGGTCTATTCCTCTGGGTGTAGGAGACCAGCTAGCAAGGGTCTGGAGGTCTATTCCTCTGGGTGTAGGAGACCAGCTAGCAAGGGTCTGGAGGTCTATTCCTCTGGGTGTAGGAGACCAGCTAGCAAGGGTCTGGAGGTCTATTCCCTCGGGTGAGGAGACCAGCTAGCAAGGGTCTGGAGGTCTATTCCTCGGGGGTGTAGGAGACCAGTTTAGCAAGGGTCTGGAGGTCTATTCCTCTGGGTGTAGGAGACCGCTAGCAAGGGTCTGGAGGTTATTCCTCTGGTGTAGGAGACCAGCTAGCAAGGGTCTGGAGGTCTATTCCTCAGGGTATAGATCTATTAGCGTGGGTCTGGAGGTCTATTCCTCTGGGTGTAGGAGACCAGCTAGCAAGGGTCTGGAGGTCTATTCCTCTGGGTGTAGGAGACCAGCTAGCAAGGGTCTGGAGGTCTATTCCTCTGGGTGTAGGAGACCAGCTAGCAAGGGTCTGGAGGTCTATTCCTCTGGGTGTAGGAGACCAGCTAGCAAGGGTCTGGAGGTCTATTAGACGCTGCTGGGACAAAGAAATTTAATATATTTTCTATAATTCTTTCTGCTGTCTGAATAATAATAATGTCAATATTTGTCAATGAATAAACAGAAGAATGGGCAGGGATTCGAACCGCAGTCGTGAATGGTAGCAGATCCAGCAGTATAGGTCAGTGGTAGAGCGTTGGATCAGCTATGTTAATAAATTAATTTTGTGACAAAATGGAATTCTAGTGTGTTAAACAGAGGTGTAGGTTTAAAATATAAAGAATCTGGTATGTACGTTGCCACAGATTTTTTTTTTTTTTTACTGATTCCGAAGAATTTTCAGAATACACCAATAACTTGCACAAAGAGAGAAGCTTATCAGGACGTCCCCTCAAGGAAGGTTCCTTGATGTTGGTGAGGGGCTCTTGATTTAGGGAATTGGATCTGTGCTCCAGTTCCCCGAATTAAGCCTGAATGCCTTCCACATCCCCCCCCCCCAGGCGCTGTATAATCCTCCGGGTTTAGCGCTTCCCCCTTGATTATAATAATAATTATCAGGACATGTCGGTCCGACTTCGACCATTTGCAAGTCACAATCTGACTCTCAGATGGAACCCAAATGTCGTGGTAAACTTTTCTCTCCTGTGTGCGCGTTACTTGTGTATTGTTCCAGTCAGGGTATTGTGACTTCTTGTCCTTGTTATGGAAGACGTGTGTACATGTTAGTTTAGAGTGAGTGTAGGTGTAAGTGAGTTCTATATTGCTTGTGTTTAATGGAGTGTCACTATCGGGAATTACTTAAGTTAAGACTCTTGCATTTAAACAATTGTCACTACTTTCCCAATTCATGTTTAGTAATGCAGATGTAATGTTCTGTAGGAACCAAGCTTGACCTACGAGACGTTACTGATTCCAAGCTTATAGTGACGAAGGCTGAGGGTAAAAAGCTAGCTGACTCTCTCAAAATGCACGGCTACGTCGAGTGCTCAGCAAAGAAGATCATTAACTGTGATGCCGTTATGAAGGCGGCAGTGAGAGCGTGTACTCAAGCCAGTAAGCCAGGAGGACATACTTGTAAGATACTATGAACGCCCGCCTGTAAGACGACCCAAGTTAACACTGAACATCTTCGTAAGATCCTATGAACAATCGTCCAGAGAACGAGGCAAGAACCTCCGGCTCCTTAACTCTGTGTAAATACAACAGTCTCGCCCCTGGATGAAATGACATGTTGCCAGCAAATATGACTATAACGCAGACAATTTCCAGAGTAAGCTTTGAGACGACTGTTCGAAAAGCAACAATAAAAGCTTATTCTGGGAATTTGTCGTTTTCATCAATGTGACTCAGAAGTGTTCCACTGGTAACTTCAGTAAATGTAGTCAATGTCAGTCGTCCCTATAAATCTTTACATTCATTAAACAAGCTTTGGTGCTTGAATTTTCGTATATATATTACAACAATCATATTTGATTGTTGTAATATATATACGAGCATTGAAGCACCAAAGCTTGTATCAAATGATTTAGATAAAGAAAAATTGGATATCAAATTGGGGAGGAGGAGTATGGAAGAAGTGAATGTTTTCAGATACTTGGGAGTTGACGTGTCGGCGGATGGATTTATGAAGGATGAGGTTAATCATAGAATTGATGAGGGAAAAAAGGTGAGTGGTGCGTTGAGGTATATGTGGAGTCAAAAAACGTTATATGTGGAGGCAAAGAAGGGAATGTATGAAAGTATAGTATTACCAACACTCTTATATGGATGTGAAGCTTGGGTGGTAAATGCAGCAGCGAGGAGACGGTTGGAGGCAGTGGAGATGTCCTGTCTAAGGGCAATGTGTGGTGTAAATATTATGCAGAAAATTCGGAGTGTGGAAATTAGGAGAAGGTGTGGAGTTAATAAAAGTATTAGTCAGAGGGCTGAAGAGGGGTTGTTGAGGTGGTTTGGTCATTTAGAGAGAATGGATCAAAGTAGAATGACATGGAGAGCGTATAAATCTTTAGGGAAGGAAGGCCGGGTAGGGGTCGTCCTCGAAAAGGTTGGAGGGAGGGGGTAAAGGAGGTTTTGTGGGTGAGGGGCTTGGACTTCCAGCAAGTATGCGTGAGCGTGTTAGGAGTGAATGGAGACGAATGGTATCTGGGACCTGACGAGTTGTTGGAGTGAGCAGGGTAATATTTAGTGAAGATTAGATTTTGCCACCGAAGTGGCTAGTTTATTGTGCACCCCATATCCATCCTGTGGACGGTAGCGCAAGAGCATATGGATACACAAAAGGCCCAGGAACTAGGCCCCAAAGGGTTAACAGGAATACATATGGATTTATATCTACATATCTATAGTTCACTTATCTGTTACAAGCAAATTTAGGAAATTTGCTTAGTATATCTGGTATCTTATTTTCATTAATAAGATATCTTGACATGTCACATAGGTTATTATACTGTCTGTCTCTGTATTCCTCAATAAGTGGACAATTAAGCACATAGTGTTCAAGACAGTGACCATATGCCTGATCACATAATTTACATTTAGTTTGATCATCATCTGTGTGTCTCCCACACTGCCAGAAGTACTTGTAACCAAGCCTAAGCCTGGCCACTACAACATCAGTCAGTCTGTTCACATTGCAAGTTGCTCCATAAACATACTTATCTACGTTCATGTTATCATAGTGGGTTATAGATCTACTCAGGCTTCTAACTGCATTCCTATAACAATCATTTTCATTATTTACTTCTCTCCTAATATTATTCCTAATGCTAGACAGTTATACCAAAGTTATATTCTACATTCTCCTTCTGGGTACTCTCCTTCTGGGTACTTTATCATGAAGGAGTAATCCAATGTGTGATGGGATCCATAGCAATTGTACATTAATTCCTTTGTCCCTAATTTTTGAGTATCTATACCTGGCTTCCCCAATGAGCATGTTGTTGGAGTCATTATATGAGCCAAGAGCCTTCAATGATGACATAGAATCAGTAATGATGATAGAGTCAAGCTCAGTGTCATAGGTTAGCTTTAGCGCCATTAGGATTGCAAACAATTCAGTTTGCAGTGTAGACGCCCAGTTGTTAATTCTTATGCCTAACTCAACAAATTTATTATCGTTCTTAACTAGGGAGGTGGCAACAAGAGCAGATGCAGCCCTGCCAGAAGACTCCTGTTTAGATCCATCAGTGTATATAACTTGTGATAACTTGTTACTACCAGCTAGGGAGAAATTTCTTCTGGAGCAGTTGCTCTAACAAGAGATTTAAGGAAGGATTACTAGCAATGAGCTTCTTGGGAGGGACTTGTAGGTATGTGATATTAAATGAACACATCTTCCACGGAGGGGTGAAATGCTCTTGTTGCCTACAGTGATACAGTTCATGCAGGTTATAAAACTTAATGCAATTGCACGTTTTCACAATCCATTTAGATCTGTGTGTATTTACCTCTAGACACTTGGTAAGATTCACTGTGACAGTGTCTGGTTCGTTTCTCAACATTCTAATACCGAGTACAGTGTTAATTTCAACAATCCTATCACTGATACTAGAAATACCAAAGCTCCTTCCTCATGTTAAGAACTTTTGTAGATCTGGGACAGCCAAGAATAATCCTGAGAGCTTCGTTTTGCATTAACTCCAAGGGTCGGAGAGAACTTTCTCTAGCTAATATCAACATGGGAGCAGCATAATCAATTAAGGACCTAACATAGGCTATGTACATCATTCTCACGATTCTCACATTAGCACCATAGTTGGGATTGTAGCCAGCAACATTAGCACCATAGTTGGGGTTGTAGCCAGCAACATTAGCACCATAGTTAGGGTTGTAGCCAGCAACATTAGCACCATAGTTGAGGTTGTAGCCAGCAACATTAGCACCATAGTTGAGGTTGTAGCCAGCAACATTAGCACCATAGTTGAGGTTGTAGCCAGCAACATTAGCACCATAGTTGGGATTGTAGCCAGCAACATTAGCACCATAGTTGAGGTTGTAGCCAGTAACATTAGCACCATAGTTGAGGTTGTAGCCGGCAACATTAGCACCATAGTTGGGGTTGTAACCAGCAACATTAGCACCATAGTTGGGGTTGTAGCCAGCAACATTATCACCACAGTTGGGGTTGTGGCCAGCAACATTAGCACCACAGTTGGGGTTGTAGCCAGCAACATTAGCACCATAGTTGGGGTTGTAGCCAGCAACATTAGCACCATAGTTGGGGTTGTAGCCAGCAACATTAGCACCATAGTTGGGGTTGTAACCAGCAACATTAGCACCATAGTTGGGGTTGTAGCCAGCAACATTATCACCACAGTTGGGGTTGTAGCCAGCAACATTAGCACCATAGTTGGGGTTGTAGCCAGCAACATTAGCACCACAGTTGGGGTTGTAGCCAGCAACATTAGCACCATAGTTGGGGTTGTAGCCAGCAACATTAGCACCCCAGTTGGGGTTGTAGCCAGCAACATTAGCACCTTAGTTGGGGTTGTAGTCAGCAACATTATCACCACAGTTGGGGTTGTAGTCAGTATCATTAGCACCATAGTTGAGGTTGTAGCCAGCAACATTAGCACCACAGTTGGGGTTGTAGCCAGCAACATTAGCACCATAGTTGGGGTTGTAGCCAGCAACATTAGCACCACAGTTGGGGTTGTAGCCAGCAACATTAGCACCACAGTTGAGGTTGTAGCCAGCAACATTAGCACCATAGTTGGGGTTGTAACCAGCAACATTAGCACCATAGTTGGGGTTGTAGTCAGCAACATTAGCACCATAGTTGGGGTTGTAGCCAGTAACATTAGCACCATAGTTGGGGTTGTAGCCAGTAACATTAGCACCATAGTTGGGGTTGTAGCCATTAACATTAGCACCATAGTTGGGGTTGTAGTCAGTAACATTAGCACCATAGTTGGGGTTGTAGCCAGTAACATTAGCACCATAGTTGGGGTTGTAGTCAGTAACATTAGCACCATAGTTGGGGTTGTAGCCAGCAACATTAGCACCATAGTTGGGGTTGTAGTCAGCAACATTAGCACCATAGTTGGGGTTGTAGTCAGCAACATTAGCACCATAGTTGGGGTTGTAGCCAGCAACATTAGCACCATAGTTGGGGTTGTAGTCAGTAACATTAGCACCATAGTTGGGGTTGTAGCCAGCAACATTAGCACCATAGTTAGGGTTGTAGCCAGCAACATTAGCACCATAGTTGGGGTTGTAGTCAGCAACATTAGCACCATAGTTGGGGTTGTAGCCAGCAACATTAGCACCATAGTTGGGGTTGTAGCCAGCAACATTAGCACCATAGTTGGGGTTGTATTCAGCAACATTAGCACCATAGTTGGGGTTGTAGCCAGTAACATTAGCACCATAGTTGGGGTTGTAGCCAGCAACATTAGCACCATAGTTAGGGTTGTAGTCAGCAACATTAGCACCATAGTTGGGGTTGTAGTCAGCAACATTAGCACCATAGTTGGGGTTGTAGCCAGCAACATTAGCACCATAGTTGGGGTTGTAGTCAGCAACATTAGCACCATAGTTGGGGTTGTAGTTAGCAACATTAGCACCATAGTTGGGGTTGTAGCCAGTAACATTAGCACCATAGTTGAGGTTGTAGCCAGCAACATTAGCACCACAGTTGGGGTTGTAGCCAGCAACATTAGCACCACAGTTGTGGTTGTAGCCAGCAACATTATCACCATAGTTGTGGTTGTAGCCAGCAACATTAGCACCACAGTTGTGGTTGTAGCCAGCAACATTAGCACCACAGTTGTGGTTGTAGCCAGCAACATTAGCACCACAGTTGTGGTTGTAGCCAGCAACATTAGCACCACAGTTCGGGTTGTAGCCAGCAACATTAGCACCACAGTTGGGGTTGTAGCCAGCAACATTAGCACCACAGTTGTGGTTGTAGCCAGCAACATTAGCACCACAGTTGTGGTTGTAGCCAGCAACATTAGCACCACAGTTGTGGTTGTAGCCAGCAACATTAGCACCACAGTTGGGGTTGTAGCCAGCAACATTAGCACCACAGTTGTGGTTGTAGCCAGCAACATTAGCACCACAGTTGTGGTTGTAGCCAGCAACATTAGCACCACAGTTGGGGTTGTAGCCAGCAACATTAGCACCACAGTTGTGGTTGTAGCCAGCAACATTAGCACCACAGTTGTGGTTGTAGCCAGCAACATTAGCACCAAAAGTTGTGGTTGTAGCCAGCAACATTAGCACCACAGTTGGGGTTGTAGCCAGCAACATTAGCACCACAGTTGTGGTTGTAGCCAGCAACATTAGCACCACAGTTGGGGGTTGTAGCCAGCAACATTAGCCCCACAGTTGGGGTTGTAGCCAGCAACATTAGCACCACAGTTGTGGTTGTAGCCAGCAACATTAGCACCACAGTTGTGGTTGTAGCCAGCAACATTAGCACCACAGTTGTGGTTGTAGCCAGCAACATTAGCACCACAGTTGGGGTTGTAGCCAGCAACATTAGCACCACAGTTGTGGTTGTAGCCAGCAACATTAGCACCACAGTTGGGGTTGTAGCCAGCAACATTAGCACCACAGTTGGGGTTGTAGCCAGCAACATTAGCACCACAGTTGTGGTTGTAGCCAGCAACAGCTTTGAGAGCATTTAGCCTAGCTTTGCATTTCTTATTTAGTTGTGATATAGTGGATTTGTTAAAGGGTACATCTACACCAAGATATCTGTAGGTTTTAACGTAGCTAATGATTTCACCCTGCAAATAGATGGGTGGGGGATGTCGTTTGCTTGTTAATATAGTTAAGGGATTCAGAGAAACCGATTATTTTTATATAGCCAGACTTGAGTCCTGGAAATGGGAAGTACAATGTTGCCTGAACTTTAAAGGAGAGGTTTGGGATATTGGCAGTTTGGAGGGATATGTTGTGTATCTTTATACGTATATGCTTCTAAACTGTTGTGTTCTGGGCACCTCTGCTAAAAGTGATTATGTGTGAGTGTGGTGAAAGTGTTGAATGATGAAAGTATTTTCTTTTTGGGGATTTTCTCTCTCTCTCTCT